GGTTCCACAAGTTTCAAAACAACTCTTTGAGCTAAACCTTTAGACTCTTGTCCACATTCCTTGCCTGTATAAACATTTATGTCTAACACATAGCCATTTTCAGAGTCAGCCAAAGTAAATTCCTTGAGGCCAAATCTTGCTGGTTTGTCCCTCATATACTGCCTCCATGAAAGGCGTCCTTTAAACTTCACAAGGGTTTCATCCACTGACAGGTTCCTGCTTGGGGCATAAACTCTTTGGAACCGGTTTTTAATTAGTTCTAAGAAGGGCCTAATTTTCCCCAGTTTGTCATATCCATCTTGACCTCTAGGAATTAATTGTGTATTGTTCACAAAATGTATATACCTCAAAATTTGTGTAAACCGATTCCTTGACATGCAATTTGTGAAGAATGGTGTTTGAAGTATCTCATTAGTGGACCAGTAACTATGTATGGTAGGTTTGTTTACCAGCCCCATTGCTAAAATCAAGGCAATAAATGTTCTTATTTCATCTTTGTCCACTGCGTGCCAAGGCATACGGTGTTTATCCGGGGTTTTGGCTCTCTCTTGGGCAGCATACAAATTTGTTTGTGTCACAACTAGATCAAGCAAGGCATCAGTAAAAAACAGACAAAAATAACTCACTGGGTCTTTTTGATCCGCTCCCATTCGAACTTTAGGCCCCGTGGGTTGGGTGAAAGGCAGGTCTGAATGCGTCCTGATGTCTTCCACCCAAACAGGATCGCCCACAACATCGTTTTCGCCCTGTGCTGTACGTCTCCGCTTCCTGGGAGGACCTGCTTGTTGTAATTCTTCATTTTCGTCACTTTCTTCAGCCTCAGAGTCAGTCTGATAAAAGTCTGAGTCAATTTCCTCGTCAGACTCTCGCTCTAAATATGCCGTGCCTATAGCTACAGAAGTCAATGGCATTTCATCTTCGTCTACGAACACTAAATCCACGTTTTGAGAAGTCTCTGTAGCCGAATTTACTACAAATTCACTTCCAGAAGTTGAAGCCATTACTGATCAGCTGTTCCTGAACTTCGCGCGAAAGCTCGAACAGAAAAGAATCGCAATTTTTTCGGTCAAAAGCAGGCAAATTCACATGAAAAACACCGAAGAAACCGACAAAAATCGCCAGGCGTCAAATGAGCCAGAAGGGGGCTATTGCAATCAAGTATTTCACCCCTAGCGGGCTCAGCATCGGTCAGCCGCATTTATCGTCACACATATGTGACGTTGGGAGGAAAAGGGTTAAAATTTTTGGCTGTTGAGACCCCTCCCTCCTCCCCTAGCAATTACCATTGACCTTCCATGGGGTGGGTATGGATATTTTCTGGAACCACACATTACTATTGTACGTACAAAGCTTATAACAATAACAATTTTAACATACTGACAGCACTAGAAAGTATTTCAGTGCAAACTTAACTATAAAAAAATCTGTAATTTCATAAAATAAACTTTTTAACCCTCCTTTTATCTGCATTTTGCTCTCATATTGAAATTTAAAAAACTTTTTATTATTTATTAATCTAAAAAAACTCTAAATAAATATCTGTAATGTTAATCTTATCAATTGAACATGATGAAAAGAAATTACCTATAAAAATCTGTTCAATGCCATGTGTTTATTACTGTGGTACTAACATAGCTAATAACAGTAACTTAACATACTGATAGCACCAGAAAATGTTTCAGAGCAAACTTATGAAATAAACTTTTTAAACCCTCTCTGCTAATGTAACAAATCTGAAAAATATATAATTGGAATTAATAAATAAATGAGTAAATAAAAAAAACGAATAAATAAATAAATAAATAAACAAGTAAATAAAATGTCTCTTTTGCTCATTCATTAAAATTAAAACATAAATAATATTAATGTTGCTGGTGTCATAGCCAGTCATAGGACTTTCAAGCAAATAATATTGTCCAAACTTTTATGTAAATCAGTGAGCACCTGTTTCTTATAACATTACCCATAAATATTTCTTAATAAAGAAACCACAACTTTTAGTTTGCAAGACATGTTTCGACATTCTTATGTCATCTTCAGTTGTAAATGCGATTTTAACGGTTGTACATTTGAATTTATATGAGATTACGTTACAAATTACGTCATATTGTTTACGTTACAATTTGAATATTAAATACGAAAAAACGTGACATAGCACGCGCCAGATGGGGAAAGAAGGAGAAAAGAAAAATAATGATCATAATAAGAAAAATTATTATGATGACAGAATCAAAAGGAAAGAGACAACTCTAGATGCTTCAATTGCTGATTAAGGATGGGTTTGTCCCACTTAATATGCAATGCCTCTTTGATCTTAATTTTGTATTTCGAAGCGGCAGAATCTAAAATGGTGAAACATTCTGTACCACAAGAGTCGAGACAGGCCTTTGATGATTGTAGGTGCTTGTAAATGTGTGAAGTTTTGTCAGACAAGAGGTGTTCACGAACCCGTGTACAGATGTGGCGAGTGGTCTCACCAATATAACTGGCATTACAGCCAGCACATGAAAATTTATAAACGACACGCGAACGTAGACCTGGTGGTACTGAATCTTTCACACTGAACAAGTTTCTGAGCTTAAACGTATTGAAGACTAACTTAATATCTAAATCAGGTCTACAATAACGTTTCAGTAGATGCCTTAACTTGGTTTGAGCGATGTCAGAAAACCGCCCAACATAAGGAAGTTTAAAATAATGCGAAGAAGGGTTTCCGGAGTTTAATGTGGCGTTATGCGTGGGAGAAGGATTATAGCTCTTGGCCAGATGTCTTGAGATAATCCTGTCTATGACGCTGGAAGGGAAACAATTTTTCCGTAGGAAGAAAAATAAGTTTTTGTACATCCTTGTGGAAACCAACCCAGGAATTATTGATCTTATATACTCTGTCAACCAGAGTTCTTATTAAACCTAATTTGTACATCATAGGAGTGAAGCTAAAATAATTCGTCAGAAGACCAGTAAACGTCTTCTTGCGGTAGACGCTAGTAATTATGGATGGATTACTGTTGTCAATCAGTATGTCTAAGAACGATAATTTCTCATTAATTTCCTTTTCCATTGTGAAGCGAATACTAGGGTGTCTGGTGTTTAAATAATCAAAGAACAATACCGCGTCCTTCTCATTATTGAACAAACAGAAGGTGTCATCGACATAGCGTCTGTAGAAAACAACTTCAGATAATGAATAGTTGTCTAACCAGGTTTTTCATGATGTCCCATAAAGAGATTTGCAAGTACTGGAGCAAGTGGGGACCCCATGGCAACTCCATCGATCTGATCGTAAAACACTCCCGCAAACAGAAAACCGGTTTCAGCTGTCGCAAAGGCAAAAAGCCTTCTTAGGTCAGCGGCGTTTATCTTAAGACCAGGGTTACCTTGATAAATATACCTAATCGCAATATCTATGCACTCATCGAGAGGTATACTAGTGAATAAGCTCTCGACATCGAAAGATACCATGAATTTCCCTGAGGTAGATAATTGGTTGATTTCATGTACAAAAGAGAACGTGTCGCGGACGTTGTATTCATGTGGGACATGTGGCTCGAGAAGATTACAAAGGAATTTAGATAAATTGTAATTGTAGGTACCTATTGAAGATACTATTGGTCGAAAGGGAGGTGTTTCATTAGGTCCTCTAGCCTTGTGCATCTTAGGTAGCCCATAAAACCTGGCTGGTTGAGAACCAACTGGGTAGATTCTCTCATAGGTATTTTTGTCTAAGTGGCCCTTACTTTTAAGTGTTCTTAAAAAACGTTGTAATTTACCTTCCCTTTGTAATGTTGGATCGTTATCATTAACCTTAAACTTGGAAGTGTCACTGATAATAGATAAAATACCCTGTTCGTAGTCTTTCCTGTCCATGACAACCAGGCCATTTCCTTTGTCAGGTTTCAGTATTACAATGTCCTTGTTCCTCCTTAGATTCTTTAATACCCTGTATTTCTTCAGGTCCGCTGCAGAAGGTTGGTGCGATGAGACGTACGAGTGGGCAAGATGAGAGAGGTCTGCGACAAGTTTGCCCTTTAGTTTCCTGTCGAGTATATTTCTGACCATGGTACGATTAATTAGCTCAAAACAAGAAAAGACATCCGTTTTGCTGATGGTGCTAGGACAAATAGAATGTGAAGGCCCATATTTAAGTATTTCCAGTTGTTCGGACGTGAGATTCTGCGATGAGAGGTTGGTGACTGTCTCCGTTGAGGTAAACGGTAGAACTACGTTTCGCGTTAATCTTTTGAGTTTCTTCTCGTGGGTGGTGATAACTCGTTTCACAGCCTTTTGAACATTGTATTTCACAGTTCGATGGAAGACATATCTATCGATGTTGCTGATAATTCCATTGATATGCACCGCTAATTTGTCTCTTTCTTCGGTTAATTTGCAAAGTTCCTTTCTCCGTTTGGCTATAGCACTTTTTAAGAGACGTTTTCGAATAGCATGTACATCGTGTCTACTTGTGTTTGGCAGTTGAAAACAGATAATATTAATGTTGCTGGTGTCATAGCCAGTCATAGGACTTTCAAGCAAATAATATTGTCCAAACTTTTATGTAAATCCGTGAGCACATGTTACTTATAACATTACCCAAATTTAACTGAGAGGAATTCTGTAACTTTTGAAAATCTGGATAAAATATTTATCCTCATAATGTACAACCGATATAACACACTTTTCAAAATTGCCGGTACATTCATTAACTCAACGCAATATTTCAAAGTGTCAATGTTTAAAAGTAATGTAAAGTTTAAACATGTTAGACTGCATGAAGTGGTTGTTCCACAGTTACAATGAAACAATTAATTTTAAAAAGGTACATTTTCGCAGCTGCCTTACAGTTGATGGTAGTTCCCTGCATTTGGCGGCATCATTGGGGCTGGTGAAACATTCCCATAAGATGCATCTGGCATTCGAAGTTGACTTGCAGGGCCTGGTGCAAAACCCCCATTCCAGTTTGGGTAATACCCGGTATCCCCAAAGGGTATACCCCCAGATGATTGCATGGTTTGAAAAGAATCAGAGTTGCCATTTGGCCTTTGGGATAACATTAATTGAAGAAATTTAAATTCATGTTCTCTGGATTTCTCCATTTCTTCCCTCATAAAACTGATTAGTTCTTTGATTGGGTCATTTTCGATGGTTGATCTGACAAGGTTCATGGCTTCAAGTGTTGTGGCATCCAGCTTCTCTTTTGTTGTTTGCTTTTTTCTAACATTTTTAACAGGAACAAACAATGGGTCTTTTTCTTCCCCTTCAAGCCCCTCACTACTTGGGGTTGTCCTCCCTGAGTTTGACGAGGATGGCTCCAGTGCCCGTTCTGGCTGGCAGGAGTCTCTTGTCTTGACAACTTCAAAGAGAGCATGAAACCACTTCCCGAAACCATGGTCCTCTTGGAACCTCTTGATTCCTGTGGCGGTTCTTTGTGTGAGAGCTGCCTGCTTACAGAAGCCAACACATTTCTTAAACTTGCTACGCAACTGATTGGCAGTAAATGTGATTTCCTCACCTCTGCTAGAAGCCCGCGCCTTTAGCTCTTCTAATACCTTTTCGTAAATTGATCCATTTCTTTGGTTTTTGCTGTTGGTGAAGATAAGCTTTGTTTTGAAGTTGCTGTTACTGACAACAATGTCAATTAAGTCATCTAGTGCTTTTTCAGGCCACTTAGATCTCCTGCCAGCTCCCTTGCCTTTCTTCACAAATATTTGCAAGACATCATCAATATCATCAATCTCCTTCTCTTCATCATCTTGTTCCTCGTCTGAGTCATCAAAACTGTCATCAGTTGTTTTCCTACATTACACAAACATTAAGACCATACTAAGGCATAGTCAACTAAAATCTCATTTACACAGAGGAAGGGGACAACAGAGAGGGGGGTGTAAGGAGACAAAAAGAGTAATCAAGTTAGTACATTAAAAAGGCCAGGTTATTCAAAGGCTGATTTACAATTATGTATAAGTCAATAACGGCTTTCTTATTAATGCTACGTGGAGTTTGAGATCAATCAACATCAGCAAAATTTTGACCTTGGTACAAGCAGTATTTTTATATGAAGCACACCAGTTTATAACACCGATGTTGATCAATTTAAGACTGAAAGATATGATAAATCTATGATATAGCAGTGAATGCCACCAACATACACACACACTCAACTCACATTTGATAGCATTTATTTGCTCTACAAAAATATCATGCACATGAAGCATGAAACACAATTAAAAAATTTCCTACACTTATCTTTGTGGCTCGAAGGGAATTCCCTTCGATAATCTTTTGATCGCACTTGTACAGGACGGTCGTAAAAGCTTACCTTTTCGGTGTTCCCTCCGAGGTTGACGTATTTTCACGTTGCCCTTCACGTTTTCTGCTTGACTTATCATTTGTTCCATCGCCTGAAATCATTTCTCTCTCCATCTTCTCACGAAAGCAAGGCTCACAATAGGCCACTGAACTTCCTTGCATCCAACCCACAACATCTTCGTCGTTTTCAAACACCGAACATGGCATACAAAAGTACTCCTTACACGTAAGACAGGTATATTTTGTGGTTTTAAAACAAGAGGAGCACGAGCCTTCCTCCTTTCCCGCCATATCGTTTGAATGGTTCGAAGGCTTTCACGCATGGCACGTAAGCGAACTTTCTTGAATTGTGGGTAAAACATAATTATTTTAACGTATGTATAATGTATGCATTAAGTTCGGTACATGTAAAGTACGACGTATGAATCAATGCCGATCTTTTACCGTTCTATCCGACTAGCCGAGTCGGATAGAACGGCACTGTCGATCCGAATACAAATCTGCCGATCCTAATTGATTCAAACGTCGATCTTTACATGTACTTAATAGAAACGTTAGGTTCGGTACATGTAAAGATCGACGTTTGAACTAGGCCTAATCAATACAACGTTGTTGGGCAAATCTTTTGTGTTACTGCCAGCTATTTTGAAACTGGAAAATTATGCTCTTTACGTGTATGTCGTTGTCATAGTGCCGATTCAGTACAAGAAAAGTCCGTTTCAGAGTCAGGTCATGCTGTTTTGTCTAATGTCTGGTCGTTAAGGAGAACAGTGCGTCGAGCAAACCTTGTTTCCTTTTTTTTGTCTTTTTAAATTCTTAAAATTAATCAGTGAACCGTTTAAAAACGGCTCACACGATTATTTTTACTCACATCTCAGTAAAAGGAGGGACAGAAGTTTTTGTGCGAGTTTTCGAGGACCGGGACATCATTTACAGCCATCAACATAAACAACCATTTTAATGTTCATCATATCTCATTAGTGTGACTGTTTTCAGCCTCCTATGAAAGGTAATCGAGTGGCTAGTATGGGCTAAAAAGACCTGTTGCTTATTTGGAATGAATTTTCAGTGAGCTCGTTCAGTGCGATTACTTTGCTTAAGGTTTTGCATTCTCAACTTGCCTGCACAGCAAGGTGCTAGTGGGCGAGAATGAAAGAAGAGGATAATATTGTCCTAAAATAAGTAATGGATCCATGGTCTTGGCAACTTATTGATTGCTGGTTCTTTTATTTGGCCCCTCGTTTGATACCCTAAGTCAGTCAACTAGATGTTCTCGTGCGTGATGCATGCAACCGTCGGTGAGTTCAGTCGTTGATGACATGTTCAGATTTGCCGTAACCGTCTGTTTTGTGATTTGCAATCTGAGCCTGTGATTTGTGATGATGTGCTGATCAGCAGCTTCTTTGCATTAACACCTATTAAATAGAAGAAGTCATTGAGTATATAATTTGATGCAGACCCATGCAATACCTTATTCGTTTATCGGATTTGTTGCATGCAGATCAGGAGAACACTATTGTCCCAATTATGTTCTCTTGAGGAGAAAAAATTATTTTGTCCATATTCATATAATCACGAAGTTATTCGAGAATAATTCTCTAAAGTGCTGTCACAAGGTCCGAATTAGGAAACAACACGTGCATGCTAACAAGGTCTATTTAGGCAAGGAAAGACTAATAATGTAAATCAGAGCCTGCAAATTGTCCGACCTACAAGTCAGCGGACTCCCTTTTCCAAGTTTGTAATTTGGTTTGACTTGTTAACTCCATCGCTGATCACAAAAGTATAAGATCACATTTTCTAAAATTTACTGTAGTTAAGAGTCTAAGCCAGTGATATATGAAAAGGTATTGGTCAGTGAGCCCGCAATGTGACATAAATACTGGCCAGAGGATTGTTTAGTGTAACATCTGTCACTTTAGCATCTCAAGGTGGATGTCCGCTACAACGACAATGCACTGGCTAAGTTAAACGATTGCATTGGAGGCTTATTACATTTAGGACTAAATGTTATACATTTAGGACTTTATCACATTCAGAACCAAATGTTATTACTAGAAAGACTACCTTAAATTTAGGACAGTTATTACATTTAGGCCTTCAATAGGGGTCACCAAATGGAACGAGGGACTGCGTGAATTTTCCGTGAACTCAGGGTCAATAATTCTGCGACCAGTTCTAGCCGTGGAAAAGGAAAGTTAAAGAGGAAAGGAAGTAGTTCGGAAAGCACAAAAGTTACGCGTCCGAAGGCGAAGAAACGCAGAAAACAAGAAACCGCTATGTTAGATAGAAAAGGAATGGAAGAACTTTCTGCTTGGATTTTTAGTACAGAAACAGGAGACGATATTGAACAACGAATACGACTTATGTTGATTGAAGATTCACGGATAAACAGTCAGAGCGATTGGAAATCTTTCGCCGAACACGTTTTAGATGTTTCTCAGAACCAACAAGTTCAACTCTTGGTGGGTGGGTTTTGCCGAAAATTTCCGACATTAACAAAGGAATCTTTTGAGAGTTCCCTGAAAAGCTGCAGCGGAGTGGCATTTTCCGTGGCATGGATGAAATTTTTCTCTAATTTCCAGCATGGCAAGACCACGCAGGGGCGTGTGATTTTGGACGGGCTATTAAAGAAGTTAAAGGAAAGCTTCAGTCCAGAGTCAGTTCACTGTGTTATGAGCGTCCTTCATGAATCTGTTTACACCATCATTCACGAGCACGAGAGCCTTTAAAAAGCAGAAACCTCTGCCGAGACCGTGAACGAAGCCGTACATCACGCGAGACACGAGTTGAGAGAAGAATCAGATGATATTTTGTATCGATATTGTGGGGCAGCTCTTCATCAGATGATAAAGCTGTGGAAGGAGACTTTGGCAGGGAAGAAAGTACGCAGTAAATTGTCAAGTCAAAGCAAAACCGATCATGGCAAAAGGAATTAACACTTCTCCAGGAACTATTAATGAAGGACAAATCAGACATTCCATCTAGTCTAAAAAACCTCGACGAAGGCAATCTGATTTTTTCACGAGTTGAAATGATTCAATTTTTGAGGTCTGTTGATAATGAGGTTCGAGAATTTGCGACAGACTCCAACCTACAAAAATATCCATCAAAGTTTCTAACTATGTATCCGAACGCAGTGCTGAACAATGAAAATTTGGAAGTGGACTTTCGGCTGCTTGTTGCATCACTTGTGAACTTTGAAAATGACTCTGGTATGGAAATTGTTGATGTTCTTTTTCAAGCCTTGGTCTGAAAACTTGCAAACACTCGTAGTAATGAATTTATGAATGCCAGAATTGAGAGAGAATTGAAAGATCAAGGTAAAGTAGTGGACGCCGATTAAATACTGAGATCTCGTTTGAAAGCTTACGCTTTGGCTACAAGACGCAAGTAGTAAGCTTAACGTATTTGTTCAAGTTTTATACCCTCTCATTTCCAAGCACATGCCATGCAAGATATGTCAATGAGAAGTTGATCAATTAAATGAATGTTCATATCCCCTAAACCAACTGGGTCTTACTTTTCACAGGGTGTCAAGTCCTTTGCATAGTAAAATAGCTGGATTTCTTCATTTTGTGTAGTAGTTACAGTTATTTAAGTATTTAGTTTGATACAGACCTTCAATTAAAGAATGACAAAATAATAGTTACTGCTTTTGTCTCAACCCAATATAGCCTAGTATTAAAACATCTCTTGTAATAAATGACACTCACAACTTTAAGTATGCACAGTTTTTATTGTTGTAATTTTAAGTGGGTTAAAACCTAGCCATCCCAAACAAGGACAAACCTGTCCAATTCCTGCTTTACCTTACAAGGAAAGTGTAGCTTGTTAACAGGCTCCGTAGTTATTAAAAAGCATGAATCCCCCTCCCTATCTCTTCGCACATTCTCTCCCTCTGTTGTCTACTCTTTCTCCTGAAGAGAGAGCCTAAAGGTGAGTGCCTCTCTAAGGAACTTGCTTGATTAAGTGTCTCAGTTACTTTTGTTTATGGCTGAGTTATTTATTATAATTATTTTTTTCATTCTAATTATATCATAGCTCAGTGAAAGCAGGAGCTAACTAGGAGCAGCAATCAATTATATCAACTCTCATAATATATTCCTAGCCCGATGCATCTTCATACATTACCCATGTAAAAAGTACCAAGATTGAGAGCTAAACTTTGCTACAGCAAAATTCTTGAGTTTTCAGTAACGAGACTGCTGGGAGAATTTGCCATCAAAATGATTGCACCACTGCTCGTGTGAATATGACTGTCAATGAATGCACAAGAGCCATTAGTTTCTACTATAATTCCCACAGACTTACCTCAGCCAATAAGAACCCCGTAGGATGGCTGCTGAACATTTCTGATACATGCTGCTAGATCAGGAAAATCATTAGCATCGGTATAACCAAAAATTGAACTTACTGATTGTAGATAACATTCTGTGCCCACTGACTGTACTACATCTTCTACATCTAAGTAAACAGCTGTATCACCATAGACGTCATCGTAGATGTCATTGCCGTCACATATTGCATTGATGAATGAAGATGTCCACAACTGTGGTAACTGTTTCCAAAGTAAGGAAACATCCAGATTATAATGCACACAATAGGCCCCTAATCTAACAGCAATAACTGTACAAGCATTGCTACCTTGCCGCTCTCCCATCATGGACTGTGCAGTGGTAGTTGGGAAAATAAATTGACATAGAGAACTAGACACTTTAGTACACTTAATACAAATCTGGTTTTCAGTAGACAATGACTCCCCATCTATATATAAGGTTATGTTCCTGTGGTCCTTTTTTGAATACTTATTCAGAGTTAAACTTTATCTGTTAATCAACCTGCCCAATGCAGGTGAGTAAGCAATTGCGGATAAATTTCCGCCACTAGTGTGCTTTAAATCACTGAAAATAGACTCTAATGCACTTCCATTGATTCTCTGTGGGCTGAAAAAATATCTCCCATCTGGTGAGACACTGGTGAAGAATCACTGGCAAAAGGATAGAAATCTATTTATGACAACACGAAGAAGATCTCAAGTCTACAAATACATGGCATAAAAACAAGTTAAAAATGTCATTTTTTAACCTGTGCCCTCCATATTTAAGGTTTCCCAAGCTCAAGGCAGATAACTTTTCTAGAAAGTTATTTCAAAAAAATATATAGAGAAACAGTACCATGCAAAAGTGTTGCTCAGCAAGCCTTAAGCTTTGATTTGAATATTCCCATTTGAACTAATATTTCAAGACATTACAATGTTAAATGGCTCTAACTTTGAATTCTAACACAAAGCATGCACAGTGCTAGGTACAGTGCATCCACTTTCCAAGGTTACATTAACCTGGCACGACTACTGCCTCTGAGTTATTGAAAAGAAGGTAATGGCCCATGGTGGCAGGTTACATTGTTGCATATTTATTCACATCCCAACAGTAGCAGCAACTATTCATTTTGAAATTTCAAAAATGGCTCAGTCACCATGCATTAATTTTTTGGCCAGCAATACATAATTTAATCTTTTATTTCACACCAACTAACCTGCCATGCAAGAGACTTTTTCTGTCTGGATTTCTTGGTGTTGTCAGAGTATACTGCAACACAAAATCTGCACCTAGTATAATATAACAATTATTATTACACAACATCAATACTTGTAAAACCAAGGCTTCGAATAACAATATTATTGAACAGGAACATGAAACATTTTCAGGCCAATTTGTTGTTAATTGAAATGAGCTCCTTTCGAGGTTTGATTACATTGTATTGCAAATGGAAAAGTTTTTCTACACCTTTCTCATCACCACATCACTAGTCCAGCCTTAAAGACTGCAGCCGAGTGACAATTGATTCTTATGATGGTAGTGTTGACTACATAGATTTTATCCATTAATAAACAGATAGCATACGTGTGCAAGGCTCTTACGTAAACGTTTGCTGCAGTGCCCACCAAACTATAAGAAGTTGTTGCTTCACCTTCTGGCAGCCTTAAACGACAAAGTAACTTCATAGAGCTCAGAAATTTATAATTTTAAAACACCTGTTTCTTTATGGCTGCGGCACCATTTCTCAAAGAAATCCATACCTTTCTTTGTATTTGGAATAACAGGACTGTTTAAACTGTTAATTCTGCGTCTGCTCAAGAGACCATTTTCAAAAATGAGACTACATGTGTTGTGTCGTCTAGACTCAGTCAAGTTACTCCTTTCATTGCTATTGCTCAACTGAATTTTATTAAAGAATCAACAAGCGATATTCACAATACAATACTAGGAATCAGTAATACTACTTTTACATAGGAATGTACTTTTACAATCATGTACCGATCGTGTCTTACAGGATATAGCGTGACTATAGTAACGCTTAGGTAACGCAATACACTACAACATGCCTCTAGGAAGCTTGCAACAAGAGTAGCACTTTCCTGATTGGGCTCTTTTGCAAGGTCTTGAATAGCTGCGATCATGTAACGTTGCTACAGATTTAAAAATAAAAAGAATAAAAAAACATTAGCAGTGGGGCCTGCATATTTTCTCAAGGCCTTTGTTTTGTGGAAAACCTGGTGCATAATAATGATATAAACAACAGCAATAAATATTTATACGATGTATATTGATGGTTTATTCTACAAAGAAAGGCACTTCAGTAGAAGAAGGCAGAAACAAGGTGTCATAGAGATTCAAATAATATTTCACTATCTGATGTTACTTTCATGATCAGGAAGAAAAGTACAAACAAATTTAATCACCTGCATGATCTTGGCTGGTCTCACATTAAGGCGAGTCCAATTATCTCTGTAAACAAATGCATACTTCAGTCTAGGGACTTTGTGACTTCTACCCATCTCTGCTCTCTCCATTTCTTGGTTTTAAACTTTCTCAATTGTTTCCTATCCAAACTGGATAGCATCTAGATTAAGACTTTTTGAACTAGAGGGTCTTGAGCTGTACAAGGCAGATATTATGTTCTGTAACTTGGAATAAGATGACTAGTGTATCATAGATGGTTAAAGCAATTGCAGTTAGAGGAAAATTAATTACACACTTGTGACAGATCTGAAAATGCTTTAAGTGTTACAAGTGTTACATAACTTGATGTGGGTGTCATGAATATGTTGGAAGCATGACTTGAGGCCATCCTCATTTTATAACATGACCAGGCCTCGGCTCAACAAATAGTGGATAACTCTATCCACTAAATAAATCGCTATCAAGTGGATAAAATGTACTCCAACCAATACAATTTATCTGCTGGATAGCAACGTACGTGCTGGATAAAGTTACCCACTCTTTGAACTACTGGTGCAAGGCGTTTACATCTAATTAAGGACAGGATTGTGAATTCAGAAGAGACATTGAAATGCAGGGAAGTGTTCATGTAAGTAAATGTAGTATCTAAAAATGAAGGCATGTCACACACACTCCTTCCGTGTTTGTTTTTACAAGAAAAAGGTAAATACCTGATGGCTTGGGCAAATCATGGCAAATCATGGATTTCCAAAAGGATCCTCTGGATTAGTAAAAGACACGTTGAAAAAATACCGTCCTTTTCAAGGTTTCTGCCTGATCATCTATGGGAAGTGTTTCCTTGGGACACCCACAAAGAATTTTCAAAAGGGTAAAATTTGAAGATGCACCGTCACAGAGGACAATGGCCACTCCAAAGCCAAATGCAGTAAATGCTTTAAAGCATAGCATAAAGAACTCCTGTAGGATGTTAGAATCCATGGAACTGGGGACAGAGAAGTAAGGGCCAATCATGTCATATTCAGAGGTCAAGTCCCTCCTAAGAAACTGCACAATATAACTGGCCTTTTGGCACCCACTCTGGATAGCTGATATGTAGAACTCATGCAAGATGGGCGACTCGTCTGGTGCCATGGTAAAGCCAAAAATGCCACCACCCTTCAGATTCCATGCTACCTTCATCTGATCCTAAACTGGGAAATTTGGAAATTATTTGTAATAAACAATTCCAGATAATGTCAAAAAAAGGTGCAACAAAAGTTCTTTATTCATATACCCTTTCATACGGTAGGGCAATTTACATTCTCATAATGTTTGCAAATCTTGTTGTTAGGTACTTCTGAACCTAACAAAAATTTTATCTGTGAATATTTACATGGAATTCACTAGAAATATTAAGGGAAAAAGGGTTACATTGCACTCACACAGCTCTATTATAATTTTATAATGTAATATATTGTTTGGTACTATCAGTAATTCCTTTACTTTTATTACAACGATTAAAATAAGAGGATTAATTAGCTGGCGCACACGCGTTTACAACCAACAACAACATATTTTTCTCAAAAACCTACACCAAAACACAAATAAAAATAATTTTTCATAACTCATGTCAGTTTATGCCGTTTTCTTTTAATAGCTTGGTGCACTGAAAGATGAATGAGCAACAAAGAGCTTGACCAAAACTTCCGCTACTTTTACGCAGAAGCAAGAACAAGAGAGGGTGCATTATATTCAAGATCGTCCCTCCTTGGACTGCGAAATGCGATCGAAAGATACCTCAACAACCCACCATTCAATAGAGGAATTTCAATCACCAAAGGGACCGAATTCCAATCGTCAAACAAACTCCTGCAGGGTATGATAAATTTAAACAAACCTCCAATTCCAGCAGCAGACCTTCAAAAGTTGAAGTCGCCAAATACAATCCGGGGAAACAGTGTTTGGGGTCTTCTTCAGAATGTCTGGCTTCACATCAGCTTGTACTGGTGTGGTCGAGGACGCGAAGGTCAACGACAATTGACGAAGCAAAGCTTTTAGTTCTTGTTTGACGATAATGGACGGGAATACGCTTCAATGACCCATGACGAAGCTACTAAGAACCATCCAGGAGGGATTGAAGACATCAACAGTGTAGGAAAGGAGGCCAGGATGTATTCAACATCGGAGGACCCACTTTTTGACGGCCTTAACTGCCTCAAGAACTATATCCAGAAGTTAAATCCTAACAGCGAAGCATTCTTTCAGTACACAAAGCGAGCCGTGAAACGTGAAGATGACGTTTGGTACGAAAACTACCGCTAGGGGTCAACAACAAAAAAATAGAAAGGACGCATATCTGGAGTTATCTTTAGGGGACTGCCATATTGCCATTGTTACTGTCGTCACGCAATTTCGTCATTGCCGGTCATGAATAAGTCTACTTGTGTTTATTTTTGTCTGCTGGAGTGTAATGAATGTTGTTATGGTACTGGACAACAATCAAAATGATATATTACCATATAAGAGTAGATTCCTAAAGATGCCAAAGGTTGAAATTCAAGGACTTTTCAATGCCTACCTTACCTTTACAATAGATAGTAACTGCAGCACATCCTATTGTCAATACAAAATTGTTGAAATTTTCGGATGTAATTGATCGAAAGGCTCTATCTAAGGAGGTACAGCACTGATATCCTTCTACTGTAGGTTCTTGATGAATAGTACCAGTGTAGCTTTCACTGTATTGAAGTTCATAGTCAGTCTCTAACACATTTAAAAGTGTGGGTAATTCTGTCTGCATTAAAAATGATTGTCTGGTTAACTGAGACAAACTTGAACACAACTGATTTCCAATATTCATTATTGACACGAGATCATTAGCAGAATTGATTCCTTGTTTGTTATTATAAATCAAAGAGCATAAACTCAATGCAACACATTGTTGTCCTGAATTTTGTCCAAATACCAACTCATTCACTTGGCTATATAGTGCCGTTATTGTTTTGCTAGGGTCAATATACATTGGAGTAGGACCAAAGTTTTTCTCGATATCTGAACTCAGTTGAAATTTACAATAGTTTGATACGTGTGTCTGACTCCTATTAAGACAGATGGGTCTATTACAAGAGAAAATTGATAAATACCGACTTGCTCTACACTCCAATTTAATTATCCTTTGATATACCCTCACAGAACAATTCAACAAATACTTCTTCTCATGTTGTGTCACTTTATTTAATCTTACCCTCTTCGTATTAAGCTTCCAAAAATTCTTTGTAACTCTTCTAACCTTCACATAACGACATAGCCAAGAGGACTTCCGTATGCTTGAACGAATGCGCTCATAAACAAATTCCTTCAGTGTTCAGCCCTTTCTTCTGAGACATTTCAGAGTAGCTTCAGGTATTCTACTGGGTTCTCGATCACGTCTAAACACACGGGTGTTTACATGTAAACATAATATTAGATAGCTCGTTTGATATAGCAGGTTTTGCTTGATATTTCTCGATAGAAAGTTCACTGGTAAAGAATCGCTCGTAAATTGATCTATCGTAAAGTTCACGGACCGACCCGTTCCCAAAACGCTCCACAAGTTTTAGTGTGGGTCTTTACCGCGAACGGTGTGTGACTTTGTATGTATATTGAGCGTAATAGCCATCGAATTTCTTTCAAGTACATCAAGCAAAGAATTGCCCACGAAGGCAGCCATTGCTTTAAAACCATACCCTCAGGGGTTCATTCTACGCATGCGCTGTGGTGGAACTGCGTTTTGTGACCGAACGCAACTCTTTACAGTGGCCAATTTACATTATCAACTCAGCTGATTAAACCAGATCAATTTACATTATCAACTCAGCTGATTAAACCAGATTATCTCGTAATACCCTTAACAAATGAGGAACCGTTGTTTCTCTAAAAATTAACCCCTTTTATTCATTTGCTTCTTAATTCGACGCCCAATTGATATCTAGGGAACATAAGCTCGAGCTCCGTCAAAGCTTGAAATTTTTGGACTGATTAAAAAACAAAGTTTATCACTTATTCATGCAAACCGCGCCCCGAACATTTTTATATCAAGAAGAAAATATGGCCTAAACGTTAAGTTTTTGTGAAACTGTCAAAATGGCGTTTATTTACCACTGAAGCAAATATCTTATTACTGTTTAAGTAACAAGTCCACTGATTGTTAAAAACCGCAGCCCAAAGTAGACCTAGCCAATAACCGACCCTTTCGGATGAATTCAACCATGAAGACCGCTAATTACTCTTATCACTTGAAGTAGACAGTAAGCTTCGATTTCTGCATGCTTCATGCAGACCAATTAATAGAGAAAAACTCAGCTCGAATTTGTGCGATGTTCGAACAAGTTAAGTAAGAAGTCCCAAATTAAAACTTTTTGAATGCCGATATAAATCGAATTCAGTTTCAATATGGCGGGTGACTGCAGTTTTGCTCGATTAAATTTTATTTGATTGAAAATGGTGATGAAGCAATATAAATTTAGAGCCACTGTCGGTACACAGTAAGAATCTGACGACTTGCGACATAAAACAATTGAAAATAGTCAAACAATCAACAAATGGTAAGATATATAAACGAACAATTAAGAGTGAATAACTGAATAAGAAAATAAGTGATAACTTAATAAATAAATAGATAAAAAAAACGTAACGACATAGTCAAAGCTTTATTTTTATGGCCAAGCATCATAGCATTTTGTAAGGTAAAGCGTCTCGTGTCTCTAGGTTGCTAGAGACGTACAGTTCGAAGTGGCAAAAAACAAAAGAGCTGGGTACTCTCCTACCGCTTTATTCATCTCAAGTTATGTTCTTGTTTCCCAGTTATTTGCCTCGTTCCTTCCTAGTTGTCCACAGGAGGCTGTTACAGCTGTCTAGGCTCCCGTCAAAATGACGTCGACATAGCTTTGACATCTGGCTGATTGAACTGTTTCAGTCGAGTTTCGACTCTTGTTGACTGCCTATTGTATTTGAGTTGACTGCCTCCGGCACAGCCATATTCAATGTTCGAGGGGGTGAAAGCGGCTTTTTGCGTGGGGCGGGATTAATTTTCGTGGGCTCCTGGTTTTATACTCAACTCTTTGAATTTTTTCTGAAAAAAGTCTCTACAAATTGAAAACAAAGCTTTGAAAATTCATGTTGTTGGAAATGCAGTAACTATACTTTGGTCCAACGTGTCGTAGATCACGGTCACAGAAGAGCATGGAGCTCCATTCCTTCCATGTTTACCGAGTGGCGAAGAAAATTTCTTTTGGAAAACAATCCTGTTCTTATAAGATCTGTGAGGCGTTTTGACATCTTGGTTATGAAGGGTTTCTTCAATCATTTTCCAAACAACAGTTTCGCAAGCAGCATAGAAACAGCTTTTCCCCTGTTCGCCTGGGTCCATGTGACTAGCTCTAATATGTTCCTTCACATCATCTTTGAGTGTACATGTAATATCACGCATCCAACTTTTGGATGATGATGTCATTTCGCTACAACGTTCGCTAAAACTCCCAATAAGTTTTTTGTTTGGACTGATCACGAGTTTCTACTGGTAAATCCTGTGCAAACTGCTCCAAACTCTCGAAGGTTATTGCTTTAACTCTCCGCCGAAAATTTTGGAACATTCTCAGGTTTCACTATGTTGGGATTGATGATCAGCCATCCGAAACGGCGGCATGAATAGATTTTGTGGAATCTGTAATATTTCTCAACAACAAAAGCGCAATTCTAAATAATCTACATTTTTTATTTACATAAATAGTCTACATTCTTTCAAAAGGAAAGAAGAGTATTAACGCGGAAAAGAACGAAAATGTCGAATTACTTCACACACAGGTTTTCCCTCCTGCTTCCTTTACATTTATTTATTTATTTTTTGTGTTGCTATGTGAATTGACACGTCTCTTGAGCCTAGCGGGGCATGAATAGTTGGACTGCTATACAAGTTATGCATGTTTCAGGTCGGCTCGTTGCCATGGGCCACGTGCTCATGTGTGAGTTAAACTAGACCCTGTGAGCAGGGTAACTGGGACACCTGGATGGTACTGGATCCTTGGAATCAAGTGTTGTGATACTACGGGTGTCAGACTATTATACTGAAATAGTGAGCTCAAGTCTGGCCAAGGGCATACACCTATTTCAAAACATGCATAGTATGCATGCAAGAGTTATTTTTTGTAGGGTGGCTGGATTACTTGAAACGTTGAAAGTGGTCTACATTCTTACCAAAGGAAAGAAGAGTAAATGTAACCAAAAAGAAACTGTATTTGTGCCACGGATACCTGTTAGTACAAAATGCTGACAGTAGACTGCAGACCGGATACAAAATATAGACTGCAGCCTGCAGAGTGGGTACAAAATGCAGACTGAGAATCTGAAGAGTTTTTACGTCTGGTATATGATAACGTGTTATCTAACGGCTTACCGAGCGTCACGCAATCGCTTTTCCGCGATTAGCCTTCACGATTATTTGCACTATTGTGGAAAATTCCTGCCCGTTTATTGATGAAAATCCATCGTAATATAATTTAAAGCCTTCGATATATCTTCTTACTTTGCGCGCGAGTTGGTGGGTGTGATGTCTGCACAGATTTTACCAACGTAATAAAAGTAGTTGACGTGAATAACAGTGATGGTAAAGCAAGCTTAAAACGGCAGAAATCGCCTGAAACTACAACGGATACACAGGGTATGAGTAAGCTCTTTGATTTTACAAGAAAAATGTTTATATTTGAAAACATTTATTGTTGTAAATCGACCATATTTCGTTCCGTATACTATTCCTTATAACGTGTTCAAATTTTCAACGGTTTCTTTCGTAACTTAACACCGAGTCACACAACGCGTGACGCGTTCATGAATTAATCGCTGGCTTTTTCTCGAGGCGTGAGCTTGGGCCACCTGTGACATGGCAATTGCGTAAACAATACTTAATATAATAACATTATACTCAAAAAACACAGGATTTTGGATCATGTATTTATTAAAAAAGAATATCCATACAACTACAATGAAAACAAACATAAGATTCACCTTTCTGATCGTGAAATTAATACCATTCGCACTGTTATCGTAGCTACGTTCCCTGGCATCAAGTGAATCCAACATGGCGTCTTTCTTCACAAGCAGTTTGCATCCATTAGAGTTTTGTTCTTCAGTCTCACGGTAGTAGTGTTGTTCAATAGATTACATAGAGTATATGTATGGGGTGTAATTACCGTCAAAAATAAATGTTTAACTATGATATCCACAATTTCAGTTATGACATTGAGATATGCAATTGTGCTAGTCCGATACGATTTCATGATATTTGCTATTATGATGTTCAAATCGATAATGAGACTTTCAATTATGATATTGAGACATTCAATTATGGTATTGAGACATTCACTTATGATATCGAGACAATCAGTTTTGACATTTAACTTTTATGTTCAAATATGCAATTTTGACATTTAATTCCGATACTTACATCCATCAAATTTTCAACAAACATGGCATTGTGACATTCTAATATTCAATGATGATATTCAGATGTTGAATTATGAAGTGATAATGTTGCATTCTGCATGACACTCAGTGTTCTGTTTTTGGAAACGAGCCGTTAAGGCCTAGGTACCACTCGGAGCAAAGAAGAAGGAGAAAACATGGCGGACAACTTGCAACGGATAAGAAATCAACTGATCCAGGGACTCTCAAAAATCCTTTGGCAGTTGAATGTGGAAAATTTAGAGAACAACCGCCTTGATAGCTTACAGTTTCGTGTTGATTGGATTTACGGTAGAGTTGTCAGATATCAAGGACTTAACGTTATCGATGACCGAGTGGTTGCTTGTTTAAGGGAGGCCAGAGACTGTATTCATAGATCTGTTATTCAATACTCAGGCACACTCTGCCGAGCGGGTCTAATTTTTAACGGCGGGAGAGGTAGACCTAGATTTGAAATACCACGTGCACAGTTAGAATTTATTGTCGAAAAGGGATTTAAAGTTGCCGAAATTGCGCAGCTTTTTGTTACAAGCCCCAGTACAGTGAAAAGACGTTTGGCAGAGTTTGGGCTGTCTATCAGAACAACCTACGCACAATTGTCAGACAGCGACCTAGATGCAACCGTCACTGAGATCATGAGAGAAGTCCCTAAAGTTGGATGCAAAAGAATGACTGGTCTTCTTCTTGGGCGTGGTTTACGTGTACAATAAGCCAGGATTAGAAAATCAATGTGCAGAGTAAGCCCGGAAGGCGTCCTACTTCGGGCCTTAGAATTAAATGTTGTATGCAGAAGAAGTTACCAAGTTCAAGGTCCCCTCTCCCTGTGGCACATCGACGGGAACCATAAATTGATTAGGTATGCTGAATATCAACTTGCAACTGGTTCATGTAAGTGGTAACGTTTCAACAACACACAAAAACAAATAATAAATGGTTGTTGCATAAAGAAAACGGCCCAAAACTAAGTTCTTTAAGGTTCACGGCTTGTTTTTCATTAGCGATCATTTGCCCACATTCGACTGAATTTCTCTGTTCCAAGTTTAAAGCATTTTATTCAGCTCCTAAAAGAGGTGACAGGTTTTCTTTTCCTTGATTGTTTTCTTAAATGACAAAGTTGTAAATATTCTTGTAGCTCCTTAAAACTACCGATGATAAAAGGGTTATTCCAACAAATTCTGCTATTTACAGGTGGAGAATGGTTATACACGGAGGTATTGATAGCTTTTCGAGGTTGATAGTATACCTTCATTGCTCAACAAATAACAGAGCTAGTACTGTCCTAGAACTTTTTAAAGCAGGTGTTTCAAAGTATGGTCTCCCATCTCGCGTACGTTCCGATAAAGGAATGGAAAATGTTGACGTAGCATGGTACATGCTAACGTATCCATTGCGAGGTCCTGATAGGGGCAGCCACATCGCGGGCAGAAGTGTGCACAACCAGAGGATCGAGAGGCTTTGGAGGGACTTGTTCACTGGATGTACCTATCTCTTTTACAACATCTTCTGTAACATGGAGGAGTGTGGCATACTTGACAATGCAAATGAACTTCATCTAGCAGCATTGCACTGTTTGTGCCTCGAATCAACAGGCATTTATCACTCTTCACAGATGGGCATAATAGAAGTCCAATTAGCACGGAGCGCAATCGATCTCCTAAGCAGTTGTGGATCAGAGGAATACTGTCCAATGCTTCACAAAGGATAGCAGATGAATTCAGAGATCAAGTTTGTATTAAAATTATTGAAGCATATATACTTTTCACCCTTTTAGCCATAAGCTATACTCAGTGAGCACAAAGTTAAGGTAAATTAAAGTACATAAAGGCTTGAATACAACCACCCAAGGCATACCCAGATCAATCAATCTTTACTGTACTCACTCTTGCTCAAAAATAAATAAATAACAACAATGAAAATATTAAAAGTAAAAATTAGAGTACTGGCTACCTGGAATAACCATGGGGGCTAGCAGAGCCAGGCAGCCAGATGACATCAGCATTAAATAGAATAAAATCGCGGGTCAGCAAGGAAACCTAAGCACAAATGCACACGTAGAAAGAAAAAGGGAAAAAAATGGGAGAAGAGGAAATATGCTATTTCTATGCTATGAAGGAGTCTAAAATAGTTAAATTTATAAATGAATACAAAACATTAACTTAAGAAGAACTTGAAAAGGTGACAGAATTTAACCAAAGACTAATTTACAGGTAATTTGGGAAACAACACAACTGCTAATAAGAATACAATTAACAAATAATCTTTGACAAAATTGCATTTTACTGATTCCTTGAAGTTTGAAATAGAGGTTTTTAAATTGAGTTCCATACTTAATAAGTGTGGACTATTATCGCAAGAGGAAATCATAAGAATGTCATGATTCCTTTCAAGCTAATTCAAATTTCAAAAAGCAGCTTGTTTATCGCTTCCTTGTCGTTCGCTCTCATGTGACTAATCTGATTACCATGCAAGTTGTCCATGGGTACCAGTCCCCACGATAACTTAAAACTCATGGAAAACGCGCGTTAAAAAAGGGAGAAAAAACAAAGAAACGCAACTAAAGGAAAAACGCAAAGTAAAAGTCGTGAAACTTGAGTATTAAAACTCTCAAAATTTCACCTTGTGCCACTGCCCATGCCTCATGCACTTACGGGCTACAATTTAGCACGAGGAACACAGCAAATGTGGTGTTCGACTTGTGAAGTTTTGGGTGGTTTGCGATCTTTTTAGCCAGACAGCGGGATTGAAGAAACAGCTTGCGTAGCTGGAAACGGCATTTTCTGGAAACACTTAAACACGACACACTACATTTCAAATTAGAAGCATGTTACTTATTGTGCTATCATCTTATCATTGACAGGTTTCCCTTGACGACTATGGAATTGATTGGGATCGACCGCTCCCAACTCAGCAATGAGATGGTTCACATGAAGAAAATAGTAACAACGTTGAAGTGCCATCAACACAGTTTCCTTTCTGTCAACAGGAGGTGGAACAGATGCAAATAATTATTGACCCTTTAAGAGATTCACAATACTGCGGAGTAGAAATCTACATGGAAGTTGTATACCTATTAGAACAACGTTTGAGTGATGGAGATGTGCAATAGCCGGAAAAATGCAAAGTAACATTTACTGCAACCATTTTTCTTTTTACTATGTCACAATGACTAAGGTACTTTCATTGTAATTAAAATAACCAATATAAACTTGTTCTAGCCTCCTCGACAGCTGTTTTACTTATGCAGATTAATGCTATCATAAGAGCCCCAGTGAAGTTTGAAAGAAGGAAAGGGTGCCGAAAGTCGTTTATGTGTACAACTATAAAACAACTATCTAACTTGCAGTGTAAGTTTAAAAAGTTGAACTGTCCCAACAACTATACCTATCAAATTTCCTTTGTTTTCTGGTTTCAAATAGATAGGAGAGACAAGTAAATTCTGGTTTTACCCCAGCATGGATTTTATGAAAAACATTATTCTGGCAAACTGTTTGACCACATATACTTAACTATTATTATTATTATCACTATTATAGTGACAATCATACCACTTGCCCTTGTCTTATTTCAGTAAACACCTATAAAACTGATGTGAATTTCATATAGCAATTACTTTTTCAGTATGCAAAATTATATACCCTTTACTATTCTTCTGAACTGATATCGAGACATTTTTAATAGATGTTCCTCAACTGCCATAAAGAACATTTCAATAAAATATCACCATAGTTGCAACACATACCTAACGCAGTCTCTTCAGAGATCCCAGCAGAGGTCCTGCTTGCACTATCACCACTGGCCCCTGAAAATAATAAATATAGATATTAATTATTGTATTGTCATTATATTATACAAGTAGATCACATAATGATGATAATAATAATAATATTAATTAATAATAATAACAACGCATATAGTTATTATTATGATTATGTTGTGATTTACTGGTATGTACTGCTACAAGCAGACAGAATTAGTAAGAGTAGACCATACCAACCTCTTTCTCGTAGGAGGAAGTCTGCTACTTCATTTACATCTCCAGAGAAAGTTTCGAGGGCAGCAAACAATTTACTGTCCTCCATGCTCGGAAAAAGAACCTTTAACCTTTTAAGATTCTCTGAAATACACAAGGAAAATGTGATGCACTTAGACCAAGTTATCCCCGTGAAATAGACCATTTAAAGTTTGTAATCATGTGATCTGCTTAGTGAAAAAAGAATAGGTTACAAAGAGAGCATGAGAAAGTTAGTGGCTAGAAGGCTACTTTTGAGGTGACCAACACAAAAGACCAAGATTTTATAGGTGAATGTTAGTAAAATTAAAAGGGTTCTTATGATTGCAGTCCAGTAACTTTTTCCAATAACAGGTACACATTTTTCAAATCACCATAAAATTGCACTGTTGAGAGTGTATACCGGTAACCTAACAATGGGCAGACCTACTTTTTGTTCTATGAGCTCTCCATCTCTGGTACTTTTAAGGTGGTATTCCATGATTTTGGCATGAGATAGGTCATGTGAGCCTGGGTGAAAAGGGCTGATTCATTTTAAAGGCATACTTTTCTTGCCAATGGAAAATGATATCAAGCTTCTAGTACCATGACATCTAAGAGTAGTTAAATATTAAAAACAGCTCCTCCCTCCCACTTTTACATCAAGTGTCTGGTCATAAAGGATCAACCAATGTAAAATCTATAACAGTATCTATATCCGCCCAATTACAAGTACAATAGTTATTTAAGCAATTAAATTTAAGAAGCATTACAATAACTTGAGTTTGGCCCATAAAGACCCCCACATCATACAGTTTTACCAGAATCCATGTTCGATGTGTCCTTGTCTAATTTAGCAAAATATACATAATTTTGCTATTCCTTCCATAGAAAAAATAGTCCTTTGAGAGGATACAAGCTTACTGGTGATGAATAGTCCATATTCTTGAGTAAATGGTAGACTCTGGGATGTTAAGAGTGGAAGGGTTAACAGTAATAGGCCAGTTTTTAATTACCACAATTCACACTTGGCTCAGAGGCTGAGGAGAATAAAACAAAAGAAACTGCATTGAGATTTAGAGATAAATAATCCGTTTCTTTTGATATATTCCCCTCAGCCTCAGGGCCACGTGTGAATTTTAATAATTTGAAACTGGCCTATGGAAAGGGCATTTTAGCCTGAAGCCCTTTAACTTTAAAATTCTTAAAACACTTTCAATAGACCACCCTGCCCTTTGGCTTCCTTCTGTAACTCCCTTTATGTAAGTACATACCTGCACTATTTGAGCTTTCATCGTCTGTACACATACTGTAAACAAGGCACATACCGGTTTGCTTTGTATCACATGGAAGATTAGCTAAAAAGTTAAGACCTTTTGGCTTTCCTTACTGTCCAATTTGTTTGTAACTCCTAAACTCAGGTTGCTATAATTTTCTGTATTGTTTGCTATACATTCTGTACAGAACTAGAGAGAATTTGTCTCAATATAAAGACTAGCAGGTGTAAATATATTACGACAAAAATAATGCGCACCCTGTTTGGCTAACCAAGCATTTTACTTTTTGCCTATAAGAACATGCTCAAAAATGTCTGCCACTTGAACATGCACTGATGTTGTGATATGTGCCACATTCAAAGCAGGAAATCTCAAAATAACATTGTGAACTTCATGATCAACATTAAATCTGTATGGTATTCCTGGTGTTAAATTTACAAAGGACTCTTATCCTCTGGATAAAAACTCTTTGCATGCAATCTCCAGAGGCTAAATGTTGCAGTTTTCCCCATTTTTCCTAGTATTTGTGCAAGTAATATTATAAGTGCATGCATGAAACTGGCATCAGGGAAATCTTAATTGTTACATAGATTTCAGATAACTTCACACAGGTTTACTATAAGAATAATGGTAAGTGTTGGAACAGTGCACTATTACATTGTGGATGCACTTGAAATGTTTGCATAACACTCAGAGATGTATTAGGTCTTGGCTAACCCTTCTGCTTTTTCGTGCTCAGGATTGTAACCTGAAGATATCTATAGTATACGCTCTGCCTTTTACCATTTTTTTAATATTGGCCTTTGCAGTCACTTTCCTTATTCATGTCACTACAGTGCTTGCACAAGTAGTGTTAATGTTTAGGGAAATTTCATTTTCATCAATGTTAATCACACAATAATATTGTACTTACAGTTCATCATCTTTGCCGCACACATCCAAGTGCTGTCTGGCCTCAGTGATTGGAATCTCCAGCCCACAGTAATTACACCCCACCTTTGGAACATCTCCAGGACATTACATGTAGTAGCTGATATCAGATTGTCGCTTACAAAAATGTGTCGAAAGTTACGAACAAGTGGCTCTAAGTGTTAGGTTTGCAGGAAAATAAAACAAAACAGAAACACCTTGCGGAGAGTTTGGTAGAGTGACTTGAGTGATTTATTGACAAGTGTAACTATGCAGCTGCACTAATGTTTTCAGTCTCTACAACAATGGCTACACTTGCAAACACTTACAAATTAAACTTTTAAAAGTTTCATGAAATTGACCCCCTGTACTCTCTTTAAAATAGAGCAAACTCGGTGGAAACATTGTCAACCAACATGGCATCTTATCACGTGATTGCAAACCAAAAATAACCCAACAATATCTTCATCATTTTGGGGGTTGAAAAGTTAGGGCGATTTGTCTGACAGATGCGATTTTAACCTGTAAAAT